ATATTATCAATTTTCCTGTAAATGGTTCCAATGGCCTTAAATATCGACCTGAGTCAATGTTACAATACAGTAGCTTTTCTCGTGTTTTCTTGTATCAATATTGTCTTCGACCTTTCGCGTTACGCACTGTGATTGTGTTCATGAACACGGTCGACGGATGTGATTACAATATATTAACTACAATGCTGTATAAATGTATTTGCACGATGTAATTCTGACGGTATAAATATCCGTATAATATAAATTTCATTTTACAATATATGCGGTTTGTGGGAATACAAAAGTACTGGCATTTTTGAATGTATAATTAACGGTATGACGTTAATATTTTATTGCTAAACCTTTATTCGTGCGTATATATTAACGCTAATAAGATTACTATTATTATTATTGAAAACATGTTTTCAGTGTTGTTCTCCACGTGTTACGAACTCCACATGTCCAGCCCAAAATGCGGTTTGCTTCAAACTATTTTCCCGCCTTATTTAAATATGCGAACTTCAATCTGGTTGAAAAACATATTTTTCCTGTATTTGGAATCTTTTATAATTAATGAGTTCGCAAATTTTTTCTTTATTTAGTTCGTTAACCCTCCGACCTAACCCAGATTCACGTCAGAAGACTGCCGGAGTCACCTTTGGCTCAAAGCTATTGCCCGACAGTCAATAATGCAAGCCAGAAGCGACTTCGCTTGGGTATTTGGAAAGTTGATCTATGGTTTTCTTCAGATTGAACTTAATTTTCAAATTAATTTCTTTATTATAATCATTTTTATAAGTAGCAATGTTCGTTGAGTTTATTTTTCGATATGTTTTTAGTATATCTAAGGATTTTCGTTTGTTTCGAATTGTCAATTTAAGACCGTCACTTTAAACTATTCTCTTATGCTTAATGTTTAAATAATTTCGTAACACTTCAAATAGTGAATTGATTTTTGTTTCACGATTTCATTATATGATTTATAGTTTCATGTAAAAGATGTAGGGGATAAGGAGGTCAAAAGTGCCCTTAGACCGATGTTTCCTAAGAACAGAAAGAAATATTACAGAAAGTAAAGGTATTAAGTACGATTCTGCCTGAAGTGAGTCTAAAAATTAGTTCTTCATTTTTTGTCCACTACTGCAAATATTAAGATGTTATTGTTCGAGTCCTTCATTAAGAAATCAACATTTTTTTATTTTTTGTGGGGGTTTCCATTTTTTATGCTAAGAATTTGGAACGAAAAAATATCAAAAAAATTCTCATGCACCATTATGTCAAAAATGTCTTTTAAATTTTACAATTTTTACTTAACATTAAATAGAACAAATGGGACAATAAACTGATAATTCTAATTTACCCTATAACTTCCCTCCTGGTTGAGATAGAGAGCTGATCATTAGTGTTTTTTATGGGTAAGCTATCGAAGGAAACTTTCTCAAAAATTGGTCTAAGGGCATTTTTGACATCCTTATCTTATTATACTCTTTATTGAGAAAACGTCAGTACACAATATTTTATATTGTATTGTTAAACTTTTTCTTTTTGCATAAGATGTTATTTTAGTTTTCGAAGTAAGTGCATTGAACTTCGTCTACTATTGCGTTAAAAAATATATCTAGGACGTAGACGTACGTATATTCGCACGATTATGACGGTTTTGCCATTGATTTTCCCAGTTTCAATTGCAGTAGTTTAATACGATATTTCGTACATGTAAAAGTAAGTTTCACTTAAATAATAGAAATTAGTATGAGTAAGCCTGTATATTACGGGTCGGGGTGCAGGCAGAAAGGCTTCGCCCACGTTTTTACTTTGGAATTCTTAAAAATTCTATTTTTTGACAATCCGAAAAAATAAGTAACAAGAACTTAGAACTCTTTCAGTTTTCATAAAAAACCGTTGGATTCAACCTAGTGGAATTTTTATAAATTGTATAGACATGTTCATTTGCATATAATTTAATTTGCAAATAATCACAAAAATCTTCTTCTAGCATTACATTAAATTATATGCAAATGAACATATCTATAAATTTCTAATTCCTAAATCTGAAATTTAAAAGTTAGTCTTCCTTCATCAAGTATTACTATAGATATATACGTAAAGTTTAAAAATAATGGTGCTCCGAATGAAGTTCAACCAAAATTTTTCGCCTTTACCAACATTTATTAATAATGGTTCTTACAATATGTATACTCAAGTTTCATTTATGCAGTATTATTAGTTATTAGCATTATTAGTATTAGTGGAGCTATGTATACAATTCTGAATAATTTATTTTATATTTCAGTCAAAATTTTAAAACATTTTCCTTACATTCTATACGCGTTATTTTATAAATTTTAGTAACATTGTTATAATTTCTAATGTGTGCGTTGCATCATTAACACTTAGGCAATTGCTTAAAAAAGCCATAAGTATAACCTTTTTTATTAACATTGACTTAATTTATTAAACAAATTTGATTAAAAACTGTGTTTTGCAACAGTAAGGAAGGTATTTATTGAGCTGCCAATATCTCCAGTACAAGACTTACTAAATAACAAAAGAAAAAAATGAACAAAATAAATGACAATACGTTGCTAAGGGAAAAGTGAGAGATCTCCCTATTCGATTGGCTAACTATTAAGATTAACATTCTCTTAATATCTTTTTTACATCCTTCAGTTCAGTTTTATCCGAATTTTTATTACAGTTAGATGGCGCACAGTGGTCCTCGAATTCATCATGTGTTTTTAGTACTTCTTTTTGATATTCCCAGATGTGTGATCGGTACAATAAATGTTCGATCGGTTGTTGGTGATTTAAAATTACTTTGAACCGTGGGCCCAGGAGAAAACCTATGAAGAATACATAATTTTGACTACTAGTTTGTCTAATTCATGTAAAACAACATAACAATCACAAACATCAAAGGACATACCTTCTAAGGAAAATCTTGTTTGACAAATTTTCTTCTTGTTCCTTCACTGCTTCAACGAACTTCTCTCCTAATACGGATTTTATTTTAATGGTTCAAAATACACCGTAGCGAGTTCAGAAGATGGTGGCAGTTTGCTGTGATTTACTCCAGTCCATAAGAACGATCTGTATAAGCAGCCACGTGAAAACAGAGCACGTATGGAAGAATCCCATCAATTTGTTTCATTCTGTAAGTAATGTCTGATAAAGGAACATACTGAACTGTGAATCTGAATTAATGAAATTTCAACTTTGCGGTCGAATGCCACCATAATATGTCTTCACTTGAGGTACTAGCTGGACAAAACTATTTTTTCTATACAAATCTTTCGACCTCATTGGATAATATTTGTACATCATATTTTTTATAACATACAGGGTGTTTCTTAATTATGGGGTTATGGGAACATGGATCCAAAACTCAATAGCAGCGGGAGGTTTTTGACCGTGACATGATCTTGAAACGTCCTGCAAAGGTCATGTCACCACTCTTAAGTAGAATCCCATATTTTTTAAGCCGACGTGCAGACATTTTGAAACTATGGACGTGAAATTTTTCTTGCAAGCCGTTATCAAAATATCAGCATCCAAAGCTGTCGGTTCGTCGATAATGATGGTAGCCAACAGACAATCCAACCCCCACGTGCGGACGAAAGGGCAAGAGGATGCTCGGTTGAGGAACTGTGACGCGTCAGTTTCGACAGATTTTGCATAGTGATTCAACCTTGAAATGCGATGGAACAAGTGAAACGCCTATAGACTTTCTAAGAACGCATGGGAGAGTAAAGGAAGGTGGCAAGTGCGATGATTACATTCTCAGCTGTGAGTCCACGGTCCGATCGATAAACAATGTCAATCACATTTTTAGGTCGGAAACCCATCTTGTAACGAACAAGAACCGTAGATATTAGATTCCTTTACTCTCCCATAGCAGTTGAACTGTTCGTCGACTACCATCACTACTGACGAACTGATCATTTTGGATGTTGATGTCCTGATAAGAGCTTAAGCGAAAAGTTTCATCTCGATGACTTTGAAACACCTGAATGTCGGCATAAAAAATATAGAATAGAAACTATATGGTTCTATTTAAGACTTGTGACGCGACTTTTGCAAGACGTTCCAAGGTCACGTCATGATCAAATACCTTCCCTTCATTTGGCATATTTGTTCGTATCACTGATACTTTTCGAGATAGTTCGGTGTTCTTGATTCGGTCCTCATACATTTTTTTTTAAACTAAACCTATTTTTATCACGGAAACTATTGAGATTTGGATCAATGTTTACTGAGGTTTTTTTATTCAGTTTAGTGAGTTGTAGACGCCCTACCATTCGCGTGCAATAGTTTAGAAACACGATGTATATCATCAATCATATAGTGAGAGATTGTCGTTAACCACTTAACTGTGGGATTTAGCTTTCAAAATTTCTAATTATGCGCGCAATAAAGTCAAACGATGAAGCATATACTCGTCAAACGCAGTGCAAATGTAGCTATAATATATTTTAACGAAAAACTAAAGCAACACGAAGAAGAATTACATGTGTATCTGAAAAAATAACTAATCCATCATTCATCATTAGTCAAACGCAGTTAACTGGTTAAAATTAAGATGAGGACACGAAACATTTATTTTATTTAATTATTTATTTACCGATGCGGGAAGCGTGTAGCGCGATACGTATTAAGCGTCGTGAATCGCGATTCAGGAATTGTAGTGTGAAAGTATCGTACAAAGTGCTAAGAGAACAGCACTGAATGATGCTTAAAATAACGTACATTTCAATATTGTTTTAAGGCTTTGCGTTTTGTGCATTCTATACGAAGATTCGTTTGTACGGGTATGACTACAAGAATGGCCTGTCTTTGCGTCCGGCGTTGAACACGAGACCCCCACAGATTGTTGTTTGTTTTTCGCTACTGTGACGCGACCAATCGTCTAATTTTTCAAATATAGGACAAGTGAATTTCTGAGATTATTCCGATTGAAAGGAATCCAAACACGATAAAAATCGGATTAGTTTGACCGACTTAGTGTAATTAACGGAATTAAACTTCATTTCCGCCAAACCGATAAAACTAAACTGATTTACGTCGTGTTTGGGCTCATTTTAATCAGAAAAATTTCAACAATCCGTCGGTACTATATTGAAGAAGGTATAGTGCATTACTGACGTGAACTCAGCCGACCTGTGGCTTGGAAATAAAGAAGGATAAGAGGAGACGCCCACTCGCAGCGTTCGACCTGATAGTAATGGTGGAATTAGTTTCGACACGTCTTTGTTACTGGCCTCCCTTGTCCCTCTTCACTTTTGAGCCACAGGCCGGCTAGGTTCTCGCCAGTAAGGTCGGTAAGGTTAAACTTACTACAATTGAAATTTTCTCCATTGCGTGTGTATATTTAACGTTCCTCAATGTCCTTAGTTTGAAATACTGCGCCTCGACCCTCGATGTTCAATGGACTACGTCTATTCCGTTTCTGCTCATTGTATTCATTTTCTGTCCCTCTAATTTAAGCGAGCTTCTCCAAGCTGTTCACAAGAATCGCCCTGAAAAAAATGCGCACCTGATTAGTCAAAATGATAAAAACACGTCTACTGTCACATAGACTTTCAATTCTAGTACATCAGAGCTATCGAACTGCGAGCTCAGAGCTCCATAGTGACTTTTTCTTCATGGAGAGTTACCCATTTTTTTGTAACTACTTTTATCTGTTTGTATTTTACATTACATAGTGCTCACAAAAACATTCTCGAGTAGCTCCTAAAATAGTGGTAGTGGGGGAACGCTGTTTGCGAGTTACTTGCGTGAGGGGAATCAATTCGACCAGCTCTACAGTATATTATTCATAAGAGTGCTCAAATATTGTAATCTACTCGGACAAAGAATAAATAAGACATTACCAGAGGAAGGAAAATAGCACGAAACAAACAACGACCATTAAAGTATTGGCGTAGCATTTCTAATGTCTCAAATTTTAAGCAACTATTAACATTAAATATAATTTTATACATCACTAATTTACAAAAATGAAAATAATATACACATTAGGTTATTTGATCAACAAGTAACAAGTAGTTTTTTAAAAATAAAAACGATAATTTAATTCATAAACATTGAAAACAAGAAACATACAAAATTAACAATGAAATTTAAAATGAAATGGAGTGTAAAATATATGTTTTAAATTTCATTATATACGTTAATTTATTTTAATGTTTATTAATTAAATTATTAATTTCTTATGTGATTAATCAACTATTTCTTGTAACATTCTAATACATATATATGTGTCCCGTGTTTATCATTATATATTTAGGTTATTATATTTCATTTATAAAATACAGTTCAAAGTACAAAACATAACAATACGCACTGGTCGTTGTTTCGCTCTGTTTCTGCGTGGCCGTTTTGATGGTAGATAGTCTTTAAGCTTCTCAAGCTAATCTGCAAAAAAAAATTTTATTAGAGTTACACTTGTTTTAAAAGTAGGTTCTAAACATTCATAATTCTCAAAAATAAATTTCATTTTTTTCTCACCTTCTATAGTTTATCTTCAATAGATTCGTTCTCCGAAACATATCGTAAGTACATGTTTTCTAACACATCTTCTATCCTTCAGCCCATCCTTCAGCCCATCCTTCAGTCAATATTGTAGGAGTAGAGCTGTAACCGCCGCGCCGCGAATAGGCTGGAAAGATCTCGAATACAACAATAATACCACCGCGCGGCTAAACAGCTGATCCGGCGAAGCCGTTACCGACGAGCACTTCGACCCAGCGTGTATGTGTGTATGTATAAGTGAATGTTGACGAAGCGGCAAGCGAACGAACGTTAGAGAACGGTCACAATTTTAACGAACGTCGAATACTCGCGAACATCGAAAACTCGCGAAGGGTTCGAAAATCAGAAGTCGAGAATGTTGTGGGGTTGCCGCGTGAATATAAGGACGCGACTGCGGCGCGGAGTGGGTGTAACGAGTCACGAAGCGAGTACGAGTACGATTACGATTACGATATACGATTACGATATACGATTACGATATACGATTACGATATACGATTACGGATTACGGATTACGATTTTCTAACGTTTTTGGTTCGTGTGACGTGTTTTGTAACTTTCGTGTACCTGTTCGTCTATTGTTCTTTAATAAAGGGTTGGATTTAAAAATTCTAAACTTACAATATTCATTGTCCAAATTCTTCACGCGAGAACAATAGTTTCCCCAATCGTTTAGAGCAATTTCTGTCATTATCTCATCGGTGAACGTTTCTATTTCATCATTTGTTAGTTCCGAAATATTTCTTGATTTTAAATTATGTTTAATGTGGTCTCAAATAAATTCAATGGGATTTAACTCCCACACATACCTTGTGAACACAAAATTAATAAAGAACAAAGTAACATAGCACACAAAAGTAGAAATACATACATAACAGTAAAAACAAATTTTTTTAAATATGAAAACCATAAATTAAATAACAAACAAATATAAGACTTTAAAACGGTGTATCCATATACGACGTCTACGAAGGCTTTGTAACAGCTGACTTCCATTTTTCATATACTATTGTTAGTGGTCGATTGATTTCAGATCGTCTTTTATTAATATTAGGTTGGGGAAAAAGTAAACCATTGTTTTTTCGGTAGATGGTTGTAGTGATCGATATCTCGTAAAGTATCGATAAAACAATTTCTGATTTATGCTTGTTGGGAATGTGACATTTCGCACTAAAAAAATTTTTTGCGGTTTTTTGTTTGGTCCATTCAGTTGTGAGTTACAGGGTGTTAAAAATGGAAGTCAACAAAGAGAAAATTCGGTACATTTTACAGTTTATCTTTGATAAAGGCGAAAATGCAAGCCAGGCGGCTGAAATTGTGAAAGGTGTATATGGTGCCGATACTGTAACAGTCAATTGCGTGCAATTTTGGTTTCGTTGATTCCGTTCAGATATTTTTGATGTTAAAGATGCACCTCGCATAGGTAGGCCCGTTGTCGAAAATATCGATAAAATCACAGAAATAATCGAAGTTGACCGGCAAGTTAGCAGTCGTAGCATCGCCTAGGAGCTAAAGATCGACCATAAAACAGTTTTAAACCATTCACACAAAGCTGGATTCAAAAAAAAGCTCGATGTTGGGTGCTACGCCAATTAACACAAAGAAACATGATGGATCGAATTTCCATCTGAGAAGCTTTGGCCAAACGGAATGAAATCGACCCATTTCTTAAACAGATGGTGACTGGGGATGAGAAATGGGTCACATACGACAATATCATGCGAAAATGATCGTGGTCAAAGCGCGGTGAAGCAGCTCAAACGGTGGTCCAATCACGACTAACGGCCAGGAAGGTTCTGCTGTGCATTTCGTGGGGCTGGAAAAAAATCATTCATTATAAGTTGCTTCCATACGGCCAGACACTAAATTCGGATGCCTACTGTCAATAACTGGACCGTTTGAAGCTAGCGATTGACCAGAAACGGTCAGAATTGGCGAACAGGAGAGGTGTTGTGTTCTACCAGGCAACGCCAGGTCACACACGTCTATAGTGACTCGCCAGAAACTCCGGGAGCTTGGTTGGGAAGTTTTGATGCATCCACCATATAGTCCGGACCTGGCACTAAGCGATTATCATGTTTTTCTTGTATTGCAAAACTTCCTTAGTGATAAGAAATTGCCATCAAGAGAAAATTATGAAAATCGATTACTAGAGTTTTTCGCCAATAGGAACCAAGGCATCTATGAGAGCATTATGAAGCTGCCTTTGAAATGGCAACAAATTATAGAACAAAACGGTGCATATTTGACCCAAATCGGACAATCCGAAACGTGTTAAATAAAGTCTTGAAGTTCATGTAAAAATAATGGATTTCTTTTTCCCCAACCTAATATTTCGTCTCGCTCATTTCCTTGATGTCTTTCCTCACTTCTTGCATTTCTCAGTCACAATTTTTAACTAAAATCCAGTACTTTCTATTCCATATTTTTGAAGCCGATATTCAGATGTTTCCAAACCGTAGACGTGACATTTTTCTCGAAGCTACTATCAAGATATCTATAAACATACATATATACAGTCAAACCTGTTTTTGTGCGGTCCTTTTCTATGCGACCCTTTTTATGCAGTATATGAATGCCAACGGTGTTAGCATTACATATAACACCGTTGTAAGGTTTTCTATCAGTGTACATGTGTGTACTGTGAGGCGCTGTTCGCCTTTAGTAGCCAGGTACATTTGTTGTCAACAGTCTCCCGATAATGGACATTCAATTGTTTTTGTTCGACGTTGTTAGCGCACGGTGTACAGTCGTACCTCCAAATGCACTCTGACGTGGTTTTCGTTACTACCTTCTCGAAGGACCAGAATGGTTAACCCACTCACTTGTTTGGCTCACCATTCACTTACTAAATTGTACTTGATTTCCCTGACTTGTCTTCAGGTTTCTAAGGGTACTAAGATTGCTAATGGTATTTGCTAACTCAATGCTCCTGAATGAGCAACTGTTCTTACTGCTCCTGACTGAGCGACTGATTCTTACTGAATGAACAACTGACTCTTGGCGATCTCCGCTCTTGATCGCCAAGTCCCTATTTTCTAAATTGTCCGCTGTTTGGTTTCTTCTTATTTTGGCAGTCACCAATCAGCGGACTTAACTTAGCGTAGACACTCTTCCTTGCGCCCTTAGCGCGCTCACTTGGGAAGGGGTGCCGCGATGCTCGTGTGGGGGCGAAGACAACGCCGGTGGAAATTCGTCCAGGTAGCGGACGTTCGGTATCCTTACCGTTACATGCACGTGTCCAACTACCCTTCGGAATTTCCCTGTTTATGGCACGGCCACGGCTATTGAGAGACGAGAGAAGTGACTTTCTAAAACTCGCAGTTTTTAACTCATAAATCGTCTTCTCTCGCCAGGAAGTATAGCAGACTTTAAAAACGCATGCTTACTAAAAACCTAAAAATCCTAAATCTCTAAAATAGCCCTTCACGCACGTCCGTGCCATGAACCGTGTTAGCGACGGTCGCTAACGTGCCGCCCACCTTGAACGACTCGCGTTCAACACTCTAAATAGATCTATGCTATTCAAATTCTGAGTTTAACTATGTTGGCCTTTCTTGTACATCTAATGTCATATGATACCTATATGTATGTTGTTGTCTACTACTATAACTACATCGCAAGTACAGTGAATATTTACAATGTTTACATTAGTTACATATCTCCATATTTACATGACTGATACATCCCTTTAAATCTTATGATCTATGAATGGGCTCTGCTGTGGATGCCATAGGTAGTAGACAGAGTTTCGAGACTGGCCGTTTGAGAGTGCCAGTGGATGTCCGTACTGTTGCAACTCTCGCAACGCCATCCTTACCAGGGTGCAATTGTACCACTCGTCTTAGACTCTAGTGGAGCGGTGGTGAATTATCCTCTTTGATAATAACTAATGCGTTCAAAGATATTTGATTGGTAGTGTTATGCTGCCACTTGTATCTTTGTTGCATTTCATGGATGCATTCGGCTTGCCATCTACGCCAAAAATGCTGGAACATTTTTTGGAGTAACTGGAATCTATTAAGTCGATTAGTTGGAACATCCTCCAGGTTGCGATCTGGTATTGTGGTTGGAGCGGTACCGATTAGGAAGTGGCCTGGAGTTAGTGGGGACAGATGGGTAGGATCTGAGGACATCGGAGAAAGGGGTCGGGAATTTAAGCAGGATTCTACTTGTGTCAATACGGTGTACAGCTCTTCGAATGTAAGTCGTTGGTCTCCTATCGCGCGTTTTAAATGATGTTTTGCAGACCTAACTGCCCGCTCCCACAAGCCACCAAAATGTGGCGAGTGTGGAGGTAGTAATCGCCATTCAATGCCGTCTTCATTCAATGTGTCGGTTACTATCTTATTATGATTCTTATTTCTAATTAATGCACCTAACTCAGCTAATTCCCTTCGCGCGCCAATAAAATTCGTACCGTTGTCTGACACGATACAATGACATCTGCCTCGCCGTGCAATAAATCGTCGCAGACAGTTAAGAAATGCGTTCGTACTTAAATCGGTCGCTAACTCTATATGCACTGCCTTAGTAACGAAACATACAAAAATACAGTGGTGTGAATAATTATAGACTCAAACAGTTTTTCTCCTTTTTTTCTTCAATGTTTTTCCAGAAACGACTGATCATGCCTGGGTATGTTTATAATTAGTCAGCTAAGGGTTTCGTATGTGGAGAATGTTGTGTTTAGATTTGCCAATACAAGCTAGCTGTTACAATGTTGCAAACGAGTCTTACAACGCTGTGAATATTTATAAACTCAGTTACTCTTCAGAGTTCATTTGGAATGGTTCCGTGCTTTTAACAGATTTAAATACTGAAATATCATTACAATAATTGTCGAAAAGTAGTTTCTTCAAGATTTGTAACATTTTTTTGTATTACACTATGC